CTTGGAATGGGACAATGGATCCCTTTCCAAAAGCTTAGTGTCCCGTTGGCTGTAGCCGCTGCACCGCTGACTTTTTCTCCGTCCGGCAGCGGCGCCGAGGACAAGCACGGCTACATCTGGGACCGCCACTACAACATCTGCCTCGCGCGGCTGGCGCACGACGACGTGGTGAACTCGGTGGCGTTCAGCCCCGCCGACCAGGAGCTGCTGCTCTCCGCCAGCGACGACTCCACCATCAAGGTGTGGCGCTCGCCCCGCATGGTGCGCCTCTCTCAGGCGTCGCCCAGGCAGCTGAGGCCCCGCAGCCTGCTGCCGTCCTGGCTGCTGCGCCACAAGAACTCCACCTTTTCAGGCAACGTGAACGGGAAAGCCGTGAGCCAGGGCTGGAAGAAACCCTCGGAGGGGAAGTAGAGCGGGAGGCGGGGGAAGAAGACGGAGGTAAGACGGTTCAAACACTCCGTGCGTGTGAGCAGCGTGTCCTCAGTGGTGACCTGAAGCACTCAGAGCGCAGGGGGACGGGGGACGCAGGCACAAGGGGACGACGTTGCACCGACCAAAGGGAGAACCGACGCCGGTGCTGTTCCTCAGGATCTGCCCATTGATACCAGATGAAAGATGTGAGACTGAACTATGAGATGCTATCATGTTTTGGTTTTTTTTCTCTGTACTGATGCACCTGACCCGAACGGGCCAACAGAGACTTTCTGATCATGGTTGTTCTCATTCAGGGTCAAGAGCGGTGACTGACACTTTTTTTATTATCATTATTATTATTATTATTATTCATAAAACAATCTATAATTGGTGCCCTTTATGAAACACATCTTTGGAGAATGAAACCTCAGTTTAAAAGGCTAAAGGGATAAAAATATATATACGTATATATAGTCAAAGCTATATTTAATGTAGTCTTCCTTAGTTTTATTGGTCTTACATCCCGTTGTCTAAAAAATCAAATCTATTGTTATTGTAATAGATGTAGAGTTATTGAGCAATTTAATATAAAAGTTGGCCCAGAGCATGAGTGTAAACAAAAGAGTGTTATATGTGTGTAACTAACTGTTATTGGAGTTATGTAGTGTGGAAACTTTTATTCATTTGTCAGCACAAAGTTTCACCTTTTTACAGACTTTTTTTTGTTTGTTTGTTTGCTTCGTTCTTACCCATGACAAGTAGATTTTAAAAAAAAAATTTTTTTTGTTGCTTGTAAACAAAAACGTCCCATTTAAACCCATCACTTCCCACCAGAAACGGCCTCACTGGATATATGAATTATTTTTAGTTCACTTCTATCTGTTTTATGACCCACAGTTTTGTCCACGGGCTTAATGTTTCTGGCTGGACTCTTTAATTACTTATTTATTAAATGTTTACTTGTTTGGGAATATCAGTAAAGAGAGATTTGTTCTTTTAATTCGGAGCAAATTTGAACGCGAAAGGCAACTTTCAACATGCAAATTCGCTTAAATACGGAGAAACGTAAACGTTGACCTGGCAAAATGTTGCACTAAGCTCTAGAGGAAGCAATCAATGAAAGCAAGTGATTCAAAAGTGGAATGAATTGAAGTCACCTTTTTTTTTATGTGATGTTTCTCATCGCTAAAACTGACGTTGGATTGTTGCTAGAATCATGTTGGTGAAGCCATGAAGAATGAAAGTTGATGGTGCTGCTGTAATGCAACGTTCGGTGCCTCTGGAATAGTAAAAGTCGACCAGTTAAAAGTGAATCGGCGGCAGTTTCAGCTCCGCCTGCAGAAGCTTGAGGTACTTTCACCCGGTAGAAACTGACGTTTCCTTGTGGGCTTCTGGGTGAAAGAGGAAATGACTGATCATAAAAGCCCTGTTATTCTTAGCGGTGTGTGTGCTTTTGAGAAATCTCTGACAAGATCTGTTTTTTTTTTTTTTATGTTTTCAGACGTGTGTCGTGACTCGGAAACTCGCTGCTGATGTTCCTTTTGCCTCCCTCGTCTCCGTCTTTATGTTTCATGCTGTCAGCTTTTGTTTCCATGCACCCTTTAGATGAAACGCATGTCCTGCAGAGAAAAAGACTGAAGACTTGTCAGATTGTTGTTTAAACTGTTGTGCAGCTCCCAATTAAAGGTTGTGGTTAGAGAAGCAGATGTGAGTTTCCTTCTTTTTCTCTTTTGACGCCTTTAATCTACTAACAGATTTATCACAAGGGGTTTTTCCCCCCTCTAGTTCTGACTTTGAACTAAAGATGATTCTAAATAGCAGTCTTTCGTTCATAATAGAGTTTTGGACCACGACTGAAACCTTCTAGGAAAGTATACCTGTTTTGCTTCGATATATACTCATAAAACTGAAGTAGATCTTTGTTTGTTTTTTAGTTTTGGTTCCTCCAAGTCATTCGGGGAATGTCGCTGCCCGATTTGCGCAGGTAGAAACTCAAGTTTCTCCTCATTCCTCTTTGCAAAATAGCTCAAGATCAGTCGGACTGAAAAATGTATAAAAGTTAAGAATCCTTTTGCAAGGCATTGTATGGAGAATAATTTGCTTCGACGTATTGAGAGAGAGTCTTCAGTTTGACATTGCAAATGATCGCATTATGCCTGAACAACAGCATGCAGAAAGAAGGCTTACCCCAAATTGTCAGTAAGTGCGCAGAGCATCTTGCTCATTACATCACATTAAATTTTTTCCCCAGTATCCACAATTGCAGACAAATCTAGATTGAAGGATCATCCATAAATTAGCGATGATCATCAGGGAGAAGGTTTTGTGTCACCAATTATGCCAAAGTATAATTGGTGACACCAATTATACTTTGGCAAAAAAATGTTCCACCTTTGTGCTTCTTTTTGCTGAACAATTTCTGGATTGCTCAAGTTGAACAGTCTCTTAGGGGCCTCTTCGACTCAAACTGTATCTTTTCCAAGCTAAATTCTGCACTAAGTTGAGATATATTTGAAGAGCAGAAGTAAAAAAAAAAGACTTCATTGTGAGCCGGGATGTTTCCTCTTCAGGCCCAGACCGTCGTGTGGCTCTAAGTCCACAACACACGACGCTGACGCATTTCCTGCAGCAGACAGTCATCATAGAACAAGGACATACCTCCGCTTACAACCACAGACATGTTTATGTGCAGTGAGTAATGCAGATACACATTCGAGAAACATGTTCATATCGTGTCGCTTTCCCCCTGGATTTAAGTCATCCCGAGATAATTAGTGAGTTGTACCTAAAATCAGACGAATACGACGGTCAGCGAGCCGCTGAGATCAAACGTTCAGTTTTAGTTGTTGTACGAACAGCAAACAGCAGTGGCGTGAAAATCTTATGGCCATTAATGTGAATCAAATTTTTAATCATTTTTAACATTTGGAGAAATGATGAGACATCATCCAGCTCATGGTTATAATTTATGGATACTTCACTTTTATTTGAAATGTCAGCGCTCATTTAAAGGAATATGGTTTTTGGTAGTTCATTCATTTTCAATAGACGTGAGGGACATTCTAGACAATTCAGAATATGTGCAGATGATTCTGTTTTAAAAAAAATCCCGTTAAAATGCAGGTAACATTATTTAATCAGATCCATAAAGTGTACATAACATTAGGGTCACATATCATTAAAAAATATATATATATATATTAGATATCGACTGTCTCTCGCAAACCCACACAAACAGAAGCAACCTTTACCACCGACGATGTGTGACTAGAGTTCACCTTTTCACGCCTGCAACGGTTCATCTGCACTTCAAACTCATTAAAGCCGCAGCGGGGCTTTCAGTTTGAAAAAGTTCAGCAAATATCTCACTGAAAACAAGAAGGAAGCGCCTGCTGAATCATTTTTTGTTAATGAATCAAAATCCAAAACACAGATCAAATTTTCTGGAAGTTCAAAGCAGATTTTTAACCCAGTGTTCCCAGTAGAGCTCCAGATGCAGTTAATAAAAGTCCCGTCTGACTAAAATCAGACGGGTCAGCTGATTTTAGTCAGACGGGGGAATTCAGTTTGGAGTTGATCTTTCAGGGAACATTGCAGCCATTTGTCTATTTGATTAAATGTTTTCCTCTTAATGTGTTTGTGCACATTTAAAACAATCTATTGACATATTTTGACATATTCGCATTTAGTTTTACCCTCCAGGCATTAAGAATTTCTGGTTGGGTTTTTTCTGCGTAAATCTCAATCAATTTCAAGGATTTTAACAATTTAAATGTCAGTTTGTTTAAGATTATTGCTGGACTTCCTATTTTTCTAAGCTATGTGAAAGATTAGGCAAAACATTGACTTTGATTCACTTTTATTTTTTATGTAGCATTTGATTTATAACAAATATAAGGTGCATCTATTCAGATCAAATATTAAATAGTGTTGAATATTTAAATGCCCATTTGATTACATGATGCTAATATTTAAGCTGGTATTAAAAGGGCTGAAAGCCTCCAATATGTTAAGAATTTGTTAGTTCTGAAATGATCTAAATGCATTAATTCATACAGTTTTGCAACACTATTTTATTTTATTTTTTTGAATTTTAAATAAACACCTCGAGGTTAAGTTGCAGCAACTGTGGGAAACCGGCAGAAATTTCCCAACTTGCATTTCTGCAGCTGCCTTAAGCAATAGAACGGTACATCACATTCCACGTCTGACGCAACATTTAGGGTTAAACTGTTTACTGTAAACACAAAAACACCGTTTGACTGAACCGTGTGACTGAACCGTGTGACTGAACCGTGTGACTGAACCGTGTGACTGAACCGTGTGACGGAGCCAGAGGAGCGGCATGACGAGCCGCCTCGGTAAACCGATAACACTCAGATAAAAACTAGCAGAAGCTGTTCACAGGATGACTATCACCTTCTGCTTCCTGAATGCACTTTTATTCTGACTCTGCACGTTTAGCGTCGCGCTCAATTTTGACTCCGTTAATTTACAACAAAAGCTTAATTGTTAAATGAAAACTAAGCTACAAGTAAAGGAAGATCTTTACATATAAAAGTAATTCAGTCAGTATGAGAACATAATGGTTTAAAGTCTTTTATTGAAGCAGTATTATTAAATAAATCTCTGCCATCAATACAGAAAGTTATAGAAACTAAAATGGCTCAATGTATTTAGATAATTTTCTAATTATTATATACTGCTATATTAAATAGCTTTGAGTGTTTAGTGGTGTTAGATATTTAAAACAGTAATAATCAATAAAGCTCTCTCCACAAGTGTAAAACTGAAGTGAGAAACTAGTTAACATATCGATTACAGCAAGTAACCTGGATACAGTATTTGACTAATTGATTATATTGACTAGGTTATGTTGCCTTGCTGATTAGGTATTTTTTACAAAGTAGTAATATTGCTTTTAATAAATGTTTATTTCACATTTTTTGAAATATTTGCCACAAGGCAATTTTAGGAGTTAAAGATTTACTGAAACCAAAATAAATAAATATTACCTACATGTTTAAAGTGTATAAATCACCATAGGTTGACTGGCGTACATTACATTTCCATAGATTGAGTTCAATGAACAATGTAAAAACAAATTGACCAACTAGAAGTCGCAGTTTAACAGCTGCTGGTAAATATCCTGCAGTGGTTCAACAAACATTACAGCCTAAAAGGCAATTTTGTTTACTTAAAACAAACAAAATCCATTTTGACAAATGAAATTGCACAACTCGACTTCCATCCTGAGGTATTCTGATAGTATTTTTCATTAAAATACCCCTTTAAAGAAAGTCAGAGTATAATTCCTCAATAAAGCTCCAACTACAAAATAATTCATGTTATGGTTTCTTTAAATAGATATTTTACATTTTTTGTATAATGTTACATGTTCTTAATTGTTGTATTACATTGTAATAACAAAATATGTTTCTCCTTATCGAAATATATTTTACTGTTTTGGCTTCGAGGCTGTTTACTTTTTTTGTTTTGTTATTGAATTAAAACTAAGCAAAAAAAAAAACAGTTAAACAATACACAAATAATTACAATAAATCAAAAGATTTCAAGCCACCATTCATTTATACGTATTTTTTCCGACAGGGTTTAGAAACCCGCTCACGCTTACTGACTGCACCATCACAAACATCCAGCAACAACTTGCACCACATATTGTACATTTTAATGTGAAGCTGCGAAGCCCCCCGTTATGTTTTCTTACTATTAAGCAGGTTAGAAGTGATGTTAAGTTTTATCATTTGGACAATTTTGATTTGTCTTACTATTTTTATTCTAGAGAAAAGTTCCAACTTTTCTCACTAATCGTTTGAAAGCTATGCATTAATTTGCAATAAAGGCGCTATGATGACTATAATTTGCTAAAACATATTAAAGATATTTTATGATATGCTAGTCAGTTACATGTTTTCTGACTTTTATTATAATATAATATTTATTTGTTTCTATAGTTTATTATTTTATTATTATTCATATATTAGCATGTATATTTGTATTTATATATATATATATATATGTATATATATGGAGCAAGAGAGGCTAATATTATTTTCTTAGAACTATTTCCATGTTTGATTTCAGTGCATCTTCCACAGTGCACATCACAAGCCTGTGAGGTCTACGATTGCTTTGATAAATATCGTATCATCTCTCAAATATGGGCTCTTGCCGGCCAGCTTAGCCAGCGGGCAGAAGAGCGGGCAGCCGCTGGCGATGTTCATCTCGCTGATCGGCCGCTGGAAGGAGGTGGAGGAGATGTCGGGTCGGAAGGCGTCGATGATGTGCTCCCTGTTGTTCTGATCCAGGAGCATCAGAGTCACCTGGGTGGAGGAAAGGAAGGAGGAGGAAATCAGCTTCTGCTTTCATAAGGAGGACGATTAACACAGATGGGGGAGAAATGTTTCCTAATCTACGGCACCTTTTGACTGAAGGGCCACTTCAGCAGAGCGTCGCACTTTCCCTTCATGACCACAAAGAACAGGGAGAGGTGCGTCCCCCGTCCGGTCCCGTCGCCGTTCAAATAAAGCCTGAGACACATTTTGTAGCCGTATTTGCTGGAGTAAAATGCTGCAAAGAGAGAGAGGGAGGGGAAAAAAGGGAATTAGAACAATAGACAAAATCCTGAAATGTCATCAGGCTCAGTTTGGTTCCCTCCTTGAAAATAAACATCATCATAGAGATGTGGAATCTCTCCAATCTTGCAAGCCAAAAAAACCCCCCACAAACATCACACCAACCACGTGCTCTCTTTTTTTCCACAATCACAAAAATGTTTCAATGAGGTCAGAGCCCGTCCCAGCGATCCCGTCTCTCGTCTTACCAGGTGAGAACATGGCAGGCGTTCGGCCGGCCACGGCCTCCTGTCTGCGCCGGGAGAAGTCGGTGATTTTCCAGACGAATATCCCGTCGTAGGTGCAGTTCTGAAGCTCGCGCACCAGCTGCTCGGTCTCCGACAGCTGCAGGTCTCTCATGGTCACCGTTCGCTCGAGCTGCCGCACCCTGTTCGACAAGTTTTCAATTTTCTCCTGGTCTAGTCGATGCTGGTGGGCGAAAGCCTCCAGGGTGAGGGAACTGCGCTCCACTTCCCGGTTCAGGACACACACAATGTTTTCTAAAGCAATTACCTGTTGGAAAATAGCAACAGTCATTACATAATCCCTGTAAATACAGTTGAAAACAAACATATTGATTCTGGTTCCTTAACTGTCAAAATCAATCTCTACAACATTCTTTGTCATTTAGCAAAAAATTTCTACATCTTCCGTAAAATAGGAAGTGTAGAACTTCATTGAATGTGTTTTTCAATTTGGTAAATGTAGCCGTCTGCCTTCATTTGTGTCTATCAGTAGAAGCCATAAAGTTTGGAAGAGAGGCTCACTTTTTTTTCCAGGTCTACAGGCTGTGCGGCGGCTGCACCTCCGTCTCCCTCCTCAGGAGCTCTGTACAGACCCAGACCCGAGTCCTCCTGCAGCTCCCCGGATCCGAGGGCCTCCCTTCGCGGATGGGTCATCGTCAGGACCATCGGCAGCAGCAGACGCAGGTGCTCCATGGTGCTGCTGTGCTCATGGTCGCTCAGCTTCCCGTTCTCTATCTAAGGAGCAAGAAGGAGGAGGAGGATTAAGATTTGTTTCAGTGGACAGAAAACGCTTTTAAAACTCTGTCAAGAAAAACAACAAACTTAATTGGTTTCTACAACGTCATCAGGTTGAGACTTGAACCTGTGACGGCTGCATCACCGTCCCGGCAAGAGTCATTCCCATTGGTTTTGATGAAAAACATTCCAGACTTTGACAGCAGATAAGAGAAGCATCTGAAGACTCTCAGGTATCATATAAATGTGGTTGAACTTTGGTGAAAGAATTTGTTCTGAACAGCACACACTTCCAACTAATCTATTTATGCTTTTTGAGTGGAGATGAATCATGTTTTATTTAGACATGCATTAAACAGAACTTCCAAACCTTCTTGTTGCAACAGCATTTGATGTCAAAGTTTAACGTAACGCAGTAGTTTGCTGCACATACCACAGTTTTACAGCCCACTTCGCTGAATGGACAGGCGCTCTTCGACTTGACACAGGATTTGATGTGGTCACTGAACTGAAGAGAGAGCAGGCAAAAGGGAAAATGAAGAGATCGTGTGGAGTCAGCTCAGGAATGAAAGTAAAAGCAAACTACATGATACTCAATCAGAAGGAAACTAGCAGGTCAAAGAGGGGAATTATCAGTTTGAGACAAGCGAGTTTCACTATTCAGAATGTGTTAAAATTGCCTTTTTTAATGGTAAATAGTGCTGTGCATATTAAAATTCTATGTTTAGATATATATTTTTTCAGACATTTGCATACACTCATGATATGGGCTCAGTCGTTTATTTCTAATTTCTGATCTTCCTTTCTTAAGCAGATTAAATGAAAAACACAAAAAATAAACATAAAAATAAAAACTTCTAAGCAGAACAGCTCAAACCTTTTCTCTGGGGATCTTCTTCTTGCCGCAATCTTTACATTGTAAGGGAAACTTCAGACAGATCTCGTCGTGGGCCTGAAATTGTTTTCATAAATCAGAATGTTATCATCCATGCTCAATACCAGAAAACTGTTTTGATGCTCAGAACTCCACACATTTCTCACCTTAATGTCTTTAAAGTTGAAGGTGACTTTGCAATATTTGCAGTTGAGAGTTCTCGCCTCACATTCTCTCTCGTTGTGTCTGTCCTTGTCCTTGAGGAGGATGGAGGCCTGGCAGGCCTCGCACTGCACCCGTTCGTATTCACAGCGGCCTTCATGCTGAGCCTGGAGATGGAGAAAACCATGATTAGATGTTGTGAGCAGATCTCACGCAAGGTAAATACGTCTGCCGTTTGTTCCATTTGTGACCCTAACCCTGTCAGACAAGCATTGTGGCAAGTCTGTCCAATTTACGACAACTGAACCTCGTAAGATTTAAAATGAAAAAGGAACACTTATCTTTTATAAGTCACTGAAAATGCATTAAAAGAAATTACACTCTTAGGTGTGGTACAGGGTGTGTTGGCATTTCAAACAAGATTAAAAACCGGTTTTCCTTTTGCTTCTTTTAAGCAGACATTGTTCGTTTGTTGAGAATTCAAAAGAAAAAAAAGAAAAGAATGATTTATGTACAATAAAAGAAATGCTAATCCTTTCTTGCGTAACAAACTATATAAAGGCATTTTCAAAAAAAAGGAAGTAACTGGATTATATAAATACAAACATGTATGAGAAATAAAGAAATATAAAAAGGGAAATGAAAACAGCAACACAAACAAGTTTTTGTTTTTTTTAAATAATTTAAATCTGCGAGTCGTTTAGCGGCATTACTACACTTAAAAACTGCGACAAAGGAAGAGGCAGAGCTTGTTTGGAGGAGGAGCTTTATCAGGAAGTCCTTTCTCCTAATGAATGGGGGCATCCACGTGTGAGCTGCTCAGCGAAACAGTCAGGTATGTTGCATGTTTTTCGATTTGAATAGTTGTTTTAAAACTCACCACCCATAAACCCAAAAACCAAAGTGAAAATGAGTCATCTCGAAGCGGTGTCTAGTGAGAAATCTGCATGTGCTCGAACTTCGCCACTCGCAGAACAGGTTAGCCACAGTTAGCATCTTTTTCCAAGCGGCACTGCCTTCTCGGCCGGGTGTAGAAAGCCGCTGGGAGAATCGACTGTTTCTCAGCCGACGGTGACTAAACAGCTGTCATTGACACATATTTGGGTGTTGCAACCTGGTAATCATTTCCAACAACAAACGCCCAAAACCACATTTTGATCTGCCTATGCTTCTTCAGAGCCGACGTCTCACTGACAGGCTGACATTTTATTTGCTCAGCTTGCAAATATTGCGCCCAACTATACCTCCTCCCAACACAAAATCTTAAAACTTAGCAGCACATCTCCACTTCACATCTCAGGGATTAGACTGCAGTGTCTGGTAAACTCCCCTTATATAAATATGACGTCCATCTGGGCTCTCCTTCATAAACCAACCCGCCAACTACATCCTGGCAGACATATTTACAACACAAACAAACTGTAGACCAGTTGTTGATCAGCAACATAAAATATTGTTTACATAATTTACCGGGACTTTTCTAACCCTTGTATTTCCACGCCTTTAAATCTTAATCTTAGTTCTCGACAGTCTCCTATCAGTCTCCTATCTAGGGCAGATTTACAGTCACTTAACTACCATGGTCTGTCTCTCCTCCCATATCAAATGGCCTTTATTCTGGTACTTTCCAGTGAGTTGTTTGTGAATAAGGCTAAGGGACTTTCCAGCCTGCATGTTAAGTTTCACTTCCTGTTTCTGCAGAGCATGAATTGAAGCAACATGCATGAGAGGCCATAGTGAACTTATTGAAGGAAGCGCATACAAAGAACAGCTAGTTCAGGTCACAGTGACATGACTAGCAGTCAACTAGTTAACCTGGGGTAACCTGACCCCTTAGCACAACATGAGGCTTAATATGAGGTCAAAGCCAGACCAGAGCGGTTCAATTCAACACCTCACCTCGTACTCTTTTATAGATCCAGTCCAGCTGCAGCTCTGGTTCAAACACCTGGCAGGCAGACTCGCTATTTCTCGACCGGCTGCGTTGTCTGGAAACGCCTGGTGGACAGGGAGAGGGGCGGGGGGCAACAACAAAGCGTTAGAGGACATAAAGACAGTAATTATACTGACAAGAAACACACAGTGCACTTCATTGTGTGGTTGTGGAAACTCCCATCAGACTGTGTGGTCAAACATTCACCTTTAGTTTAAATGAGTAGCACAAAGCCTTCCAAAAGTATCCACAGCCCTTTCTTCACGTTACAAAACCAAACTGCAATGCACTTCATGTGAATGACCCAGACAAAATAATGCAAGTAGAAGGAAAATGAAACATCTTTCTTCAGTTATTTACAACCAGAAATATAAAAGTACAGCATTTATTAGTATCCAGAGCTACTTCTTCAGCCAGGCAGTCAGTTGCACTGGATTATAGGATTATCAAAGTAAAAGGGGGTGAGATACAAACGTTATCCACAGTTTTAAGATCATTTTGAAAACCGTGTCTTTTTGTGGCCATCTCACATTATGGACTACTTGTGTTTTAGTCTATCAATAAAATCAATTAAAATACATGGCTGGGACAGCATGACACGTGACAGAAAGCACTTGTACAGTCGTCTTACTCCTCTCTGGAAACTCACCTCATTACCGTTCAGGATGGACATGGGCTCTTCATAGATCTCCTCTTGGCGGCAGGCTTCACAAGGCTTTGGACCGGCGCTAATAAAAACAAAGGGATTGTGATTTGTCTTTTCAAACAGCAGCTAAGACCTGCTCCCCCGTCATCTCCTCACCAACACAGACTATACAGTTCAAGTAGATGAACAGAAGTGCTATAGAAGGGATGTAGAGTGGAAAAACACTTAATGCATTTGGTTTTTGATGCTAAAAACCAAATCTCAGCCACATTCAGACACCTGGAACCTGGACACACATCAGTTCATAAGGGGATGTCATGTGATCAACTTGCCACACTGATGTACTTAGCATTGTAAAACTAAAATCTCACAATTTTTAGCGGAGATGAGCTTCCAGGATTACACCAATGAATCAAAGGTTACCTACTTAATTAGCAATGCTATGTGTGGTAAAGTTGAGTAATTTTCAGAGGCATTTCATCTTTTCTTTATGCTCAGTGATACTGCTGTGGATCATTGAACATAACATGACGAAGCAGAGTATTATTATCAGCGCTGATGTGTTTAGAAACAACTGTTGAATGGGTGAGGACAGAAATGGGTAGATTAAAAAAAAAGAAAAAAAGAAACACCTTGGAATGAGTCAGCAAAGCCGAAATGTGTCAGCATGACCAGATCCTTGTGATTCATCAGATTTAGTCCAACCATGTGAGAAATGAGTCAGCATTAAGAAAACGACGCTGGGTGCAAAAAAAGCAAATCCAGACTGGAGCAGAGACAAGAACGCAGGATGGTGCTGAGGCATGTCCACTAATTAGGGGAAGCATTAAGCCAGCAGAGTGTTGGGGGAGGAGGAGGTCACAGGTCACAAACCGGTGGATGGTCTAAGGACCTTCGGTCTACCTGGTGAGCAGCTTGAAGCAGTGCACACAGAAGCGGTGGCCACACTGAGCCTGGACAGGTTTCCTCAGGACCTGGAGACACTGCTGACATTTGTACTTATTCTCCATGGGCACAGACAGCACACTCAAAGGAATTCCTGGTAAAGAGTTTTGAGAGTCCAAAGAGATGCGAGCCATCATTCTCCATGAAACTGATGATGCACCAAACTGTGGAAGGAAAGCAGCAGAAAACAAAGGTCAACACTCCCAATGTGTGCTTTGACTTGCAAATATATTAAAATGTTTCCACATTTCTCAACTTACAACCACAACCTGCCATGGATTTCATTGGGATTTTACAGACCAACACAAAAGTCAGGCTAGCCACCATCAACTGATTAGCTTCCCTGTTTGTGCTAAAGAAAATTTTCCCTACATCATGACACTACCACCACCAAGTTTCACTGAGTTTCTGAGTTAACTGAAGGAACTTCAAATCCTCACCATTCTTTTTCAATTTCATTTTGTATGAAATTTGAAAACCAGTGAGCATCTACTTTTATGCACATAAAATTCCAGTGAAATATTTTGTTTGCGTGAGACTTGGTTGATGCAAATACAAAATGGTAGTCAAAATTTTTATGTGTCGTCCAACTTGAAAATGAAAAACTACTAAAGTTGTCAGAAACTCTTCTGGTTTTAAAGTGAATGTCTTGGTTCTGGGACAGTTGGACTTTCTGATCTTGTGTTTTTTCCTAATTGTGTTATTGGGTCTGTCAAGGCGGAATAGATGGTTCTGTTCTGCCTTTTACTACCGATTCCAGATTACTGCATTTTACTACCAAGCCACCATGCAAAAACCATCAAACATGTGTCTCTGTTTCACTGCAATCACCTGTGGCCAGGTTAAGATTTTTCAAATTATATTCAAAAACGTCTACTGCATCACAGTAAGCTGTGCAGGTTTAAGAACAGAAAGAAAAACACAACTGCAAGCTGTTCCTCTTATTCCTATTTACGTATCATATTCCATGTCTTGGTTTTTTACAAACTAACTTTTTCAATGAAAGAAATGAACAAAAAATCTGTTTTCTATGCAGCTGAAAAAGACAAGACTGTGCATGTAAGCAATTTTTCAACTGTTGAATAAAACTTGTTGACCTGGTTTTTCCAAAACTCAACGGGAATCCTGATGTAACTAGAGATCTTTGCAAAAAGTCCTAAACGTTATGTAACAAAATTCTTGGCATGGCATACAAATAATTCCCATAAAGTTGTGCGAACTTCAAAAGTGGTTGATTCTTACAATAATTACGCAAACCCTAACTCATAACCTCGCCTGCACTGCCACCAACTTGGCAGTACAAGTAATCTACATGAAGGCTGCAAAATACTTGATGTATTTGGGTGTTAGTTTTTTGGGAAATCCAACACCAGAATTGCAACACAAATTAATCCTACAAAGCTTCTTATCTGGTTCGTCACAAAAATATCACTCGTCATATATTTAACTTCATTATTCGGTACACGTCTTTTGCCCATGCTCACATTTTCATTGGTATTTTATAGCACATGAACCCATTAAACGGTGTACGTTTAATGCTGCAAATGGTCTGGTTTTCTCTTTACTGCCATCTGGTGGATTAAGTAAGAGCCACTAACATTTACGTGATAGGACGACGGTGCAGGTTTTATTTATAAAGAAGCACATTTTCTCAATATTACATTGAGCACATTTTTTATAAAAGGCCTAGTAATTTTAGAATATATTTATTACGTTAGAAGACGTTGCTGTTTGCAGTCGCACCAAAAACTAGAGGAAAGCGATTTAATTCTGAGGTTTGTAATGTAAAGTTTAATAATTATAAATTTCCACTGGATGAACAGCTAGAAAATCTTTAACCCTGCTTGATATGGATTGTAAGTTGTCTTTCCTCAACGACAAGTTGAGGAAAGTTGTTGTTGTCTTAATGGATTCTTTAATGGATCCATTAAATGCATTCTTTAATGGATTTTGTTAGACTCAACCAACTAAAATAATGACTAAATTCATCTGGTTATTTGTTATAGATAACACATGGGAAGCCAAAACTAAACAATTGTGTAAAAAAAGAAGTTTCAAGTCCCAGAGAGGAAATGACCTCACAATGATTGTCAGGCAACCCGCTAATTACAAGAAACTAAATCACAAATTTCCCCATTCCTCCCCTGTTGGGGTTTCCTGTCTGGAAATGCTTGGAAACTTAGTCATTTCTTTCCATCTGATTACCAACAATGAGAACGTGACAACTTTTTTTTAATTTACCTGAAATCTAAAGTGATTACAATGGTATTGTAATGACACAATACCATTGTAATGGTAAAGTGATTACAATTCGGTGTTGAAGCTAATGTCGGTGATAAAAACAAAGCTATTATTCATTTTCCACCACATTTTTTCTGTTTGCGCTGTAAACGTGACTACTTTTGGAATATTCCATTGAGGTAAAGGAGTGGGCATGTTTTTGATTTCCATAACTGATGTTGTCTATACTTCACAGCCGCTGCATGTCTGTGTTTTTGTTTCTACAGCAGAAAAACAGGGGAAAACTGAAAGCTGGAGGAAATCAGATAAAATTATTAGGACTCTCCCTCCATATTTGATAAATGGAAAAACTACCATTTGTTCTTTCCAGGTTTACACCACTATGCATGTTGCTGACAGAGGCTATAATTTAACATAACCAAATCCTGTTTTCTGTGAAACTAGTCATTAAATCAGCAATTTTCTCACAGAGGACATCCTCTGAAAAAACGTCTGTGTGGGGAAATATGGAAGGAAATGAAATAAATACCAATTTAAGAAAAAGAAACTGCACATGCAAAAACACCACGCCAGCAAACCAGAAAACCATTTTAGAACTCCAGTTTCAGCTGAAATGCATTAAAACTTAGCTTATATAGTAAATAAATAAATTGTATTTCATACAATCATTGCGCCATATCTAACAACACTTCTCCCAGGATGAAATCAAGGAGGCTGAAAGCATTTTCAAATTATATAAATAAAAACAATTTATAAAAATGCTAGAAATTATCAGTGGCAAGACATACTTTAAGTAACAATAATTAGACAGTATAATGTTCAGTCAGGAGATTTTCTCCACATCCAAGCTATAATTTAAATGACTGGGTTAATTCTTATCACCTCTCTGCAGAAACCCATCTATGGCCTGAAGCTTAACTAGAAGTCTAAACTGGTGAAATTCTGTGAAGTTTTTCTGACTGGTATTTCTTCATCATGAAACTCTGACACAACACTGGAGTTTCAACAAGTTCAACCAAACTAGCGCAACTTTAAAAACAAATACAGCAAAGAAAGAAAAGAGAAAACCTTCTTGACTCATGTAAAACTTTTCAGATAGACACAGTAACTAGGTGTGATGTGTTTGGCAGATAGTGCTGCGGTTACTTTGTGCATCAACATAACCTTTGAAGGTAGCAATTTTAGATTCCCTGATGTTAAGTTTGGATCACTAACTATAGTCTCCTTCTTAAAGTTGGAGACAGAAAAATTTTATGTTCGATTTCAGACAGTCACTAACAAAGAGTCATACCAAAGGTCATAAAAATGACCTTTGATATGCAGTCATAAGGGCAGGGTTGACTGTTGCATGCCTTTTAGATTCCTCAGCAAATTTAGAAATGAACATTGCCTTGACTTGACTATTCTTACCAAATTTAGTCAAGTCAAGACAATGTTCATTTCTAAAAACACACAAATGAACAACCTCAGCTGGCTGAAAATTGCTGCACAAATCATTAAGCAAAAAAGCAACGAGTAGTAACTCTGCAAACAAAATTACAAATCTTTAAACAAAGGTAAAAAAAAAAACGTCTCCAAATCTATACACAAAGTTAAGTCCAGCTTCCTTGCCAAACACAACCTTGTAACCAGCAGTAACAGCTGCCCAGAAATGCACCATCTGTTCAATAGTCTAACAAACACCGTGCTGGTCTCACTGCTACCACGATATTGCTCAATATTTCTCCACGTCAGTAACGATCTCAGCGCAAAGGAAACTGAACAGGATTTCTACTCACCGAAAACACAGTCCAGCCTTACAGCCTGAACTTTGACGCTTGTATTTGTATCTAGTCACACCCAAAATGACGTCAGTAGATACAATCTCTCCATATAAGAGTAAACCCCGACATTTCTCTTGAGCTGCAGAGCTTTTATTTTTGCAGAATAATTTCTGTTCGTTTACTTTCTTTTGTGTGTGTGTGTGCCATTAACCAATGGAAGAAACCGTGCTGCTTTTTAGCACTTAATTTGGCCACGAGGAGCAACAACAAAGCGCGTAGTTAACGTTAGAGCTAAATTAAGTAGATTATTGCTGCGGTTCATTTCTTAAGTTGCTCGCCAGCTTGCTAACTGCTAACTTACTCGCTTAAGAGCAAGTGTATACCAATTTTAGTCAACTAACCTGGGGCTCTTGGACGTTAGGTTGGACGGAAACCGAAACTATTCAGAAAAAGACAAAAAAACAAAACAAAAAAAAAAAACCGAACACTCCTGTTCCTGTTCGAGGTAGTTCAAATAACGCACAGCAACTTCCGCTTGCTGTTTTTTTTTGTCTGCACAATTTACCACAGGGGGGCGCAGTTGAGTAGCAAAACTCCCCAAATTGACCTCAAGCAAAAGCACATCACATTTAACTCCAGTAAAGGTAAAGAAATGAACAATCCAAGACAGAATTAAAAGAGTGTTTCATAACATCAGGAGATTATGAAAAGAAAAAAAAACCTTTATTGCGTCGTTGTTGCGTCTGTTTCTTCCTCTTCACACTGATAAGGAGTGAAGAGGCTGTCAGGTCCGGCTCTGTGGAACGAGTCACTTGACAAGGTAACTTTCACCTGTCTGAACACACGTATTCATCTGGTTTCATGTTTGAAAATGATATCATCAGACAAATAATGTTATGGGTAAATTCAAATACTTTAAGTAGAAGAATTAACACAAATAAATACAAAATAATTCAGAAGAAATGCCAAGTTTTTCTCATCATAAAACAAAGCAGTGCAGCTTCCAGCGATAATATTCACTGTTTGACCTCCAAATGGAAAAAGACAACAGAGCTAATGCATAAACAAGAAGTCTAACATTAACATAAGGGTAGGTGTGTGTCTGGTGCATCTTTGGCTAAAACAAGCTTCTTCTTCTTCACTGACTGAGGTTGGTGTTTAGCTTAGCGATATTGGAAATTTTACTCAAATAAAAGTGGCAATAGTTTAAATTGATATACTGAAATGAAAGTAAAAACAGCAAGTAAATTTAGCTGAGCAAAATTTACTTGCTGAATACATCTAGATTTTATACATTTACATATTTGATAAAATTATTTAATAAAATAATGATAGTAATAATAATAAGTACATGACATTTTTTTTTATCAATATATACACCACTGGCTCCAGTAACGTTCAGTGGATGCATAATTTATGTTGAGTACATTTTATGTAGTCTTAGTGCAGACTGCATTGTCGTCATGAAGGTGAGTTACTTCCCAAAGTGAATCATTATTTTAAAGAAATATCGTCTTCAGACATATATCTCTTGTTTGTTCTGAGTTTATGCAGTGTGAAGATGCCACAGTACTTATTGTTTGATTAATTTTAGTAATACACCACAGGAGCGGACTCGGCTCCTCGTCATCCGTCCCTGATGACGCAACGTCATCGACGCATGCGCAATACGTTTGGATAACAATGTGGCAGCGCTTGTCAATTCCCATCATACGGCTCAATCAAACGCAAAGTTATTTAACATCTAAATGGTTCAAAGGTACGAACTTACACCGCTGCTCTCTACGCAATTGGAAATGCATTTTAAGCAACGAGTAGGTTATTAAATTATTGAATTTGCTTGCCTGTTTAGCAGCGTGTTAGCCTAGCTGCTCACTTATTAGCAGTCAAAACAGAACGGTACCAGTTTTAGCATCCGGTTCAGTAGGTCAACGGAGAGCTATGGTATTAATTAACTGTTGGTAAACGAACATTGATCATAAAATAGTTACATTTCATTGACATTTATAATGAGTTTCACTTTCAGTATTGCGATTACAGTGAACTGTTTGGATGCAAAAACAAATATGTTTAAGAATTGAATTAATTAAATATATGTCTGGTAATTGAAGACATATCATTGTAGTTAATTATTTCAAGTTAAACAATTGCTACCTGACAATAGGATAAATATAAAGCTAGTTAGGTATAACTTGCGATTTAAAGTTTTAATTAATTGTTTCTGATAGATTATTTATGCCTATAATTTACACAGTTAAATAATTTGTAGATTTATTTTTTCATTTACTTGATATAAATGTTTACTATATTAAAATGCTATTGTCACTGCAGTATGCATTTTATGTTAGAATCGTCACAGAATTGCTTGAATGTGACGTTTGGATTTGAATATGTAATTGCATTTATTTTAGTGTTGCTTGTAGATTCGTGTTTGAAATGTTTGCATGTTGTATTTTTTTCCCCACTAATTTGATTTGCTGTCACTTTGGCGAGTTTGGAAATGAGATTTTGAATTTCAGGTGGTCTCTGGGTTAAATAAAGTACACATTTTAAATGCATCTGCACTGTACTTGCCTGTAATGTGTAATATGAAATGATCATGTAGTTTTCACACTACTTTATTTCATTACTTAATTATTGACTCCTATCAAATGCATGAGTGTATATACAGTTTTTAGCAGAAGAGGTAAATAAACTAGAAAAATATTGCATTTCCTGCAAAAATGCAGCGTGATTACTGTAAGCTGAATATATTAGTGTCTAGTATTTTGACCTACAGTAAAATACACCTGCTGCTGTGGAAGAAAACTCATGTAAAAAGCTAAAATTAGCATCAAGAAACCCAAAAGGGCTGGTGATTTATTAAAAGTCGTCAATAATTTGACATGTCGTTACAGTAGAAATGTTTAGCTTCCTGCGTCTTAACACTGTTCCACCTTTGGCTCAGCTCTGCTCGTCCACCGACTCTTCACTAGTGGTGCTGAGCTCACCTACAGCTATGATGGGCTGTACCCTGGACACATCCAGACCACCTCCTTCCAGAAAGCACTGCTGGCCGTCGGATCAGGAGTGGCGGCTCTGCAGGACCCTTACAGACACGGTACAAATCCATGTGAAGAAAAGTTCAAGCAGTTTCAGTACATTTATTGACTGTGTGAAAACAAATATTTTATTTTCCATCCTTGTTTTGGCGTTTAGAATCTGTTAATAAAATACTACTGCTTCTGTGTGATTTAATCAGTGGCAAATGTTTTTTAAACTCATCTCTCCTCCAAATTAATCTTATTGTTGTTGCTTCAGGCTTATTTCTCAGCACAGTTTGGAAAAACTACCAAAACCCAATAAAACTTTTAACAAGGGTATATTTCTAGTTAAAAAATTACCTTAATGTTAGATTTTAGTGTTGGTATTCCAGGCCTTGCATGTATTCTTCTAGTATATACTGTAGTGCAATATTTTCACTGTGATTTATTGCAGCAGCTCAGAGTCTTCGTTTTAGCAAGACTGGGTTTTTGGTAGATAAATTTCACATCCTAATTTCCTCATTCAGAAACGAAACGGCTTTACTGAAATGGCGCCCCCGCTTCTCGTTTTCAGTAGCTGAAAATGGAAAAATGCTCACAGCTGAGGAGACACCTGCCAGCTGAAAGTTAGCATCAGATTTAGCCCACAGATTTCTGTAAAGATCCTGACTTCCAGTATGTACTCTGTGTCTAAACCTTGCTGTTTCCTTGTAACAGAAACTCCACATGTTTGAATAGTCACATTGTGAACCAATCTGAAATGACTCAGATTATATCATGCTTTGGTAGACTCAGAGGCAGCTTTTCAAATGTTATAAAAACTCCCTAAAAGGCAGAGAGGAACAAAACTGTTGTATTTACAACCAGAGAGCTGCTCTGTGGGTTTAGACTTTGTACCTATGAACAGTCTTTTACATTCTGTGTAAAATTTATGATGTTGAGTCAAATTAGGCTGTAAAATCTCCGTACAGTGTTACTGATGCTCTGAATCCCTGTGCTGATTTCACAGACATGGTTGCTGTGCTGGGAGAGACTACAGGACATTTAGCGCTTATTAATCTAAGGGAGCGGATGAAAAATGATCCAGAGGGTCACATGATCCTGACGTGAGTCTCCCTAGTTTAGGTTAAATGTTGTTTTGGTCAGTTCGCCCTTTTGCCAACATATCCTCGCATTTTCAGCTCTAGGTTATATTTTCTGTCCATTTCCTCCTTCCGTTTCTTAACCAGGTACTCAACCATTGGTTATTGTTATATTCCTTCTGGTAGTTAGATATTTTGACAAGCTATAACATTTTGAATTGAAATTTTCAAAGAAGTACCATAATTTCACTGCATTTTGTTGTTTTGATGGCCATATATCACTCCTACTCTTCTAAACTAGCAGAAATGTAGCAGATGGTAGAAAGTAATTTCTTTTAGTCAATTAGCCACATATTCTTACAGAAAACGATCACTGGACTTTAGAAAATTACTTTAAATTGCTGTAATCGCCTCCGTTAATTTTATGTGTTTTCAGTAGAAAAAACTCTTTAGAAGAAGATCACTTTAAAAAAAAGGGTAGAAAAAAAGATCAAACCTTGCAACAACAAAAAAAATTATCTGGCGAAGGCGGGAAATGATCAGTATTCTTCCACTGCAAGGATACATTTTGATTAAGTCTATTCTTTGTTATGAATTGACACTGCAGAGAAAGGCCGAGAATCCGTCTGTCCACACTCGATCTGGAAAAGATGGCTTCCCTACCAGATGAGTCGTTTGGGCGAGAGTATCTCAGATTTCTGGAGGACAATGTATGTCTTTGCTTATGCTCAACAAATCCAAATCCAGGCTGCATTTGTGAACACAAGTCTCATCTGTTTCTGGTGGATGAGATGTCTCTTATTTTTTTTTTTTGGGGGGGGGGTTTCGCAACTTGGTTGCAGAAAGTGACGCCTGACTCTAGAGCGGAGGTGAAGTTTGTGGACAACGAGGAGCTAGCTTACATCATGCTGAGATACAGAGAGGTCCATGACCTGTTGCACACCTTACTGGGGATGCCCACTAACATGCTGGGTGAGTGAAGCTGCGACAGTTCCTGTTCTCTATAAACACTCAAAGTAGACTTTATGAAAGTAGACTTTATGAAATCTTCACTCTTGACTGCCTGCCTGTCTTGTGATCTCTCCACTTCCTGTTGGTAATTTGCACATTTCTCTGTCCCGGTTCCAGGTGAGGTGGCGGTAAAATGGTTCGAAGCCGCTCAGACGGGGCTTCCCATGTGCGCCCTGGGAGCCTTGCTGGGGCCACTTCGGCTGAATGCCAGGTGCTTACGTACAATCTGTCTGATTGGAGCTAGCTCTGTTTGAAGAAAAGCTAAATTGTTGTATGTAAAATTATTTTAATTTCAAACAAGCGCTGCTTGTCCTGATGCACTTGAATGTTCCCACAAAAAGATGAAGCTTTGGGCTGATGAGGAAAGGTGACTGTCCCTTAAAAGTAACGAAAATCCTTGATCCTTTTCACATTCATCATGTTACAATCGCAAACTCCGGCGTGTTTTATTTTGAGTGCATGTATTGGAGAAAATGGAGCACATATTTGAAAAGGAAACAAAAATTAAAATATATATTTTTAAATTTGTTTTTAATTTAGAATTAAAGATAGTCTGTCGTTAATTTGTACAATCACCAAGTCTGTGTTCGTTTTAAACATTTCGAGCAGAGATCTATAACCTGCGGCTCTTTGAACCTTTAAGAATGGCTCATAAAACTCTGGCTGAAAATAATAAACTATCCATCAGTGTTACATAATTTCCCCAAAAATGTCACCATGAAATAGAAGAAAATGTATCCATCCTTTTCCAGAAAGAATTTTTTTCCCTCCTCTTTATTTTAAAACTATTAAAGGAGACATAAAATGGTAACATTTTATAAACGATGACACATTTCCTGTAGTTGATGTTCATCAAAAGGAACAAGTTGCCATTTTTCAAAGCATCACGTAACATTTAAATCTATTTCTGAATTAGTTTGATTTTTCTGGGCTGAAATCTTTGCCCATTTGACTTTGGCAAAGCTGCAGAAGTTACATTGATTTTCAAGATCTTCTTTTTTATTGATGTCTGAACTCTGGAGACTGTTCATTTTAAGAAGATGCTCAAGGATTATGCAAATACTTTCAAAGCCATTTGTGACCAGTAATCGATCAATCAACCATTTTTCAAACAAAAAGCTAACAAAAGCTAAGATAATAATTAGCCTTGAATTGGTTCTGGAAGATCTAAACACCTAAAAACAGCCTGTAATATGTAACCACTAAAGTATAGGAGTGTTTTTGATGATTTTCTGGTTTTTGATGGTTTAGGGTGGGGCATGGCAGAAAGATGGGTTTCCCCAGGGCATTATTTATAAAATAGCCACCATTGTGGCTCGTTTGCTGTTGTTACAACAGCATGTGAGTATATGGGAACACAATGTTCAACTGTAAACCGTCTCTTGATTGTTAATCATTAAACATTTCCTCATTCATTCTTTGTCATTTCCTGTCTTTGCCAGTCTAGATTTGTTGACTTACTGGAAATAAAACGGTCGTGATGACGGCTTTTAACTGTACTCTTCTTCTTCCCTCTCTTAGTCGTTTACAGTCACTCTTCACATCTTTGGGCCCCTGGGCCCTGCAGAACGGCAGGCGGGCCCGCTGCGTCCTCAGCGTCTTTTATGAGAGGCGATGGGAGCAGAACCTGGAGGACCTCAGGCGGGAGCTGAACATCGAGCCACCTCCACTCACACAAAGTGCCTCAAACAAGAGGAGAACACAAACATAACAAGAACCTCGTCATAAACTGATCAGCAGCCAAACCAAAAATATTTGAAGAACGGCAGTGTGGGAGTTTTGTCTTGTGGCATGTAATTATCTTCAGAGGACATAGGGGAATTTTGATTATGGGAAAGAACGGCTCATTTTTTTTATTCACACAAAACATTCACTAACTCCGTTTTCAACATTCACTAACTCCGTTTTCAACATGTGATGTGTTTAGGTTTCCATTTCCTTCTTATTGTGACTTCATCCTTCAAGAACTTCAGCTGTAAGTTTAGAATGTGATTCATTTGGAGCAGGAAATACTAAAAATACACTTCAGTACTAAAAGTAGACTGTTCTATTAGCAAATATAATTTTCACATTTATATAATGGCCATTATTATCCACAATCTTATTTACTAGAACCTGATATCATCTCTCATCAGAGTCTGTTTAACTGTTTCTGTTTAACCCTGTTTTAACCGAACGGTTTAATTAGAGTTGGTGCAGCTGCATCTGTTTAGCATTTAAACATTCTGATCACAAAAAAACACTTTTAGCAAGAATGCCGTCAACATGGAATAAACAGGTGAACAGAAGTTTCATTATCTGCTTTTTGTTCCGACTAACGGCATGTACCTAATAATGATCAGTCGCATTAAAACCACATTTCCAGGAAATGAGAGTCCAGGAAGTCTGTAATTAATTTACCCAGAAGTTCTGTAGAAATGATACTGATATACAGCTGGTCTTCCCCCAATGGGGTTTTAATTTCTACAGAAAATAGATCATGTTTGTCACTGTCCGACATTAAGTATATGACTACAGAGAACTAAGTTTGTAGAGACGATTGAAATATTAAGGTTATATGTAACTTTTAAAAATGAACTTTTGACATAGAGCACAAATAGTCCAGCAGTTATTGTTGTAACACGTAGTCTGAGCTTGTAACTAAACTTGTGAGCTGCTGGTAACTATAATTTCCTGAGGGAGTCTTCCCAAGGGATCAATAAAGTCAAGTCTAAGTCTAAATTATGATTTTATGTAAAATGTAAATAGCTGTGAAAAAAAGTGTGGTTTTGTGTTTTAACCTGACTGCTATCAATGCTTTAAATATTTAAAATGTTGCATAAGTTTTGTTTGTTTTTTTTCTGGGAAAATATTTCAAGTGAGGCAAATTATATAAAATCTCCACAAACACGGAAATCAACTCAAATTTCTTTACAATTTTTGAAATAAGTATTGAGTACAAAGATATAAACGGCTAACAAGATATCAGTACAAATTAATATTAAGTCCTGAGTAGTGTTACCCATAAGAGTGACATTGGAAAGAGGAATCTAATTGTTCTGTTTCCTTGTGTATAGAGAATCAACTTTTAATGTTTTGCATTATATTGAAATACTGACTTCAATAGCCAGTTTTAATCAAATAAATAAACAGTTTATCCAGAATTGGTGATGACACTGAGAACACAGTAACTTTGCATATTGGTTAATTGTTTTTAGAGTTGAGATGATGCAATAAAAGAAATACATGTTGGCACTAAAAACTTGGTTTCTAATGTGTATTTTTGTTAGAATGTAAAGTTTTAGATGTAAAAATTGGACTCTTTTATTTCCATAATGCACACTATTTGAGGTGGAAACAATATGAGGATGTTTTTCACATGTTCTACTTTATACACCTGAGGAAAGAATAAGAGAAGAAACAAGCAGAGATTCTTAAAAGGTATTTAAAGACTAAAATAGGGTGGATTTTTTTGGCAGACATCGACCCCATTGTTCTGAAAAAACAATGCAATTACCATAAGGAGTATTTTTTACATCATACATTTTTAAAGTATATGTGCATATTCTTTGCTGTTCGACTTTATTTCATGTAATTAATGGTCTAACTTGTATTGTGAAGGTAATTTGAAGCCACTTGCACGTGTTAAGAAAGGGAAAACTTTTTATTAAGCTGTCATTTCTCCTTTAAACATGTGTAATTTGACTCTGATGGGATAGTCTGACCTTAAAATGTCATGCTTTCATTAGCTGACTTTAACTCTGACTAGTTGAACAAAGCAGGGAAACTTTAAAAACACAGATCTGTGCACTGTTTTGCAGAAATTTAAGCAGAAAAATAGAGTCAAAAAATCCCAAAGAACTATAATCACAGCTCCTTTTTGCAGGCATACACACAGCACAAACACAGTTTCCCATGTTTGGCTTTTTGACCTCTAAGCATATTGTAGTCTGCCTCCATATATATGGTTCATACTGAAAATCCCCTGCAGATTCCATATGGGTACCAGGACACAAGGAGCACTTGGATATCCACTCCTTGTTTGGACCAGTATGGCCCTGTCCCAGCCTGACACGAGGTTTCAGGTTTTACTGTTATGGAAAAAGATTGTGTCTCCAGGAAGCAGACTGACGTCTGTCTTTGGTTCCTGCTGTGCGTAGCTCAGGCTGACCTCAATGAATCATATGAAGGACTGAGCATGTAGAATAATAATAATGGAAATAAAATATACACAGGTATATGAAATGAACTTGTATCTTGTGGTGAAAATGTTCTTTAGGGGGTCCAAGTGCATGCAAGTACACACTGTTCCTGTTTTAAAATGCGTCATGAACATGTCATTTTATACAAGTTTCATGTTAAAATATTTCACAGATCGTTTCATCAGACTATATGGATATAAAGTCGAAGTGTTGAGACAATAAAATCATGGTTTGGACATGTGCCCTTCTTTTTCTCTTTGTATTGTGTGACTGTGTCCTTCTTACATGTCCCTGGTCTCTTATAAGGGGGAAAAGACACTTCACATTTTGCTGTATCAGTTTATTCCTTTCTTATATAATCAGGGCTCCGAAGTCATGGCTGAATTAAAATAGAAATCATATTTTGTTTTGATTATTTTTTTGTTTTCAGTTTTTCTGCAATATTATGTGAGGCTCACTGGTTTTTACTCAGTTTTGAAGTTTTTGTAGCTGTCTGTGGTCCTGGAAACTCAACAGGAACCTTTGAATGGAGAAGCAGAACTTTTAATGGAGCTCATGAAGGCCTGATGGGACTTTGCTGCCCCCTGGTGGTTGTTTGGAAAAAACGTGTACACGGGAGGTAAATCAGTCAAATAAATAGAAGACACGCATTTCCAAAACTATTCCTGTCTCACTTATTACTAGATATCTTGGCTTTTTGCATTATTTTTTAAAGCTACAAACATCAATCATCGCAACTCTGAAAATATTTTTATTCTGGCCTTGTTCTTATTCATTCAGTTTATACTAAATAATAGGTTTCCCATAAATTGTCTATGCCGAAATGTTCAGACTTTTCCAGGCATTTTAAGTGCATCTGTTTCTATAGTTTTCTAGCACTGAAAAACTACAAAAATAGACATTTAATGTGTTGATGTTTTCCACCTGTATGTTTAACAATTTATAACATGTTACTGAAGCTGAAAATAAATTCTGTAAAGTAGTAAATGTTTCTCTGCTGTTTTTTGTTTCTTTTGTAGAATCAAAGAAATTTTAATATTTCTATCATGTTTTAGTGGAGGAAAGCATTTTGAACTTTGCCGAAATGATTTGACTCATTTTTAATTCCTATGTAAAAAATATTGTATCAGTTATCTTCAAATCATAGTTTGTGATCATTAATATATCTAATTTGATTGCAAAAAATATTCTGTTTTAGAGTTTATAACAGGCATTTTCCTATACTTTTGATTTTTCTAAACTTCTACAGCATTTCTCCAAAATACAGTTGACCAAATCATGTTTTTTTTAAACATGTTTACATACTAACTTTTCAGTTTAAACTGCAGTGCATACTATCTATGCACACTAACTTTGCTGAATCACAGAAAACTTGACTGAATGAAAGGAATGAAATCATACGGATACAGAACAGCTCTGGTTTTCACTTCACAAGGATGGAATGGAGATAATCTGTGAACCTCGAAGTTCAAGTCGTGCCATTGATTCTCCATTGGATGTACATCTGTTTTGATAGGACCACTGGAACACATGAACATTTTTTCACCAAACCATTTGGCTGCATGCTTAAGAGTCATTATCCTGCTGGAAAGTGAACCTCCACTAATAGTCTTGAGTCTTTTGCAGCCTCTGAATGTATTCCTTCCCCCAGGTTGGCTTGTGTTAGCTTCATCCATCTTCCTGACAACTTTGAGTTGTTGGGAAGAGATGTATCCTTTTAAAGAAAAGCTTTCACACAGCATGACTCTTTCACTAACATGTTTCATCCTGGGGATGATTTGTTTAGGTTATTTTGCAGTTTTGGTCTCTTTTGACCAGAATACCTTCTCCCCAGGTTTGCTTTGTTGCTTGCATAGCTTTCAGCGAACAGGACTTTTTATGGCTTTCTTTTAACAACTGCCTTTTTTCTTTCCGTTAATTTGGTTGGTTTAAACTGTTTAGGGGTATCAGTGTAGAGGGGCTAATACAAATGCAAAGCCACAAGTTTTTGCTTTTTATTTTCTAAAAAATGAAAACCACACATTACTAGTCTTTCATTTCTCAAAAAATAAAAACCACGCATTACTAGTCTTTCATTTCTCAAATACAATGCATTACTTTGTTTTGGGCAGTCGTCACAATAAAATACATTATTTACTGTTGATAATTTACCAAAATAAAGTGAACTGAATTATATTCAATGGATTTATAATGGTAAAATCAGAAAATTTGCAAAAAAAATTTTGTCTTTTCTTACATTCACGCAGGTCAAGTGTTTATGACCTGCATGTGACGTATGAACCTTTAGTCTGACGAGAGCAGGAAAAATGTGCCGTTATGCTAGACACACTGCTAATGTGATCCAGTGAGCTGCATCTGACAACATCTTGTTTATGAAATATTTCAGAGAGAAAACACACAAAAATGAAACAGCAATAATCACTTTGCTGATCATAAGGCAAACAGGCTTACAATAGTAGTCAAATGTTCAAGGTCTGTGATTTTTAAAAGTCTGGATCAACCAGGGTTATTTTTGTTATCTATAACGTTTAAAAGCGTTACATAATAAAGAATAGAAATCTATTCTGTTTTCAAAAACAATCTTTCTATTAAAAAAACAAAAATTTTCAGTCAAAATAATTACAACAGTACAACAATGTAATATAATCAACATATAAAAATAATAAACATAAAAAATAATTGAATACAAAAGAAATTAGAAAAAAAATTAATAAATAAAAAACTGATGTAGTTGCAAGTTTTCGTTATTGCACAGAGTTCCTGTTCTCCTGCACATCATATTTCTATGATATAGAAATGTCTCTCCCTTCTGCTTTTAAACATTCGTATGCTCATGCCGTCTTTCGGTGCAGTATAGTGATGCTGCGGTCAGTCACAGCAAATGCCGGAAGCAGCGGAGCATTGAAGGGCTGAGAGACAGAGTACAGCACAGTGCCAGAGTCCGGCTCGTAAAACAGCAGCGTTTGGCTCAGCCAGTCCAGCAGCAGGCCGATCCGCTGGGGCCTCGTCACCACCTGCAAGGGAACCTTCTTCCCTGCATGGCAGTAGGAGTAGTCGCCATCATAGCGGGACAGCACCCACGACTCACTGTTGTAGCCCAGCCGCGCCTCGTTCCCAGAACCTTTGCGCTCCAGAGAGGCGTAGCAAACCCCGATCTTGAAGGCGCCACTTTTGCCGACATCCACTATCCAGCTGTGGGTACCAGAGGACATGGACAGAGATCCCAAAGCATTGGGCCAGGAGTCAAAGCGAGCCGGGTCGTACGGGGGAGACTGGCGGGGCTTCTTTTGGAGGAAGGTCAAAGTGCGTAGGTCTTCAGAGAGGGAGAGGAGTGGGCTGACTGTGCGCTCATCGAACTTTAACAGAGGTGATCCATAAGCTGTGTGGAAAGGAATAGATGGGTCAGAATCCGGGCTGCTTCTAAACATAAAGCCAAACTAGTTTACAAGTTATGAATTATGGTCAGATTACTGCAGATTGTGAGTATGCACGCATGTATGTATGTCAACTTTTGTTAATTTACCTTGCCATTAAATGACAATGGAAACAAACTACTCTACAGAAATAATGTTGTATCATCACCTTTCTATGTATGTATTAGAGAGCCTCACACATAACATCCAGCTAACCCTAACTCCTTTAAACAAAGGTAACTCATTGCAAAACCCAAATGATAACATCACCTTATCTCATGATATCCTACTCAGACGCTCTGTCTGCATTGAAGAGGGAATGAAGATTCACTCACCTCTAACGTACTCAGAGTTTGATTGAGGTTTTAATTACATAACACCAAAGAGCACTCAGGCTTTGTTTAGAGAATTGAACTTTCAGCCCCAAGTGAAAAAAAGAGAAAAAAACCCAACATGGTAATGTCACAGCAAAAACTAACCTACTCTATCTTTATTCAATAGCATGCAGCAAATTTTACCACACACACAACACAAAAACTGGAGGTACATTATAAATGATACACATACTAGAATGTAACAGCACTTATTGCTTCACAAATCATCCTTAAATTTAGACATTCTAACATTTGTAGCAAAATGAGAAACAG